TTTTTGAAACCGATAAATTTTTTTAAAAACCTTTTTTGAAACCGAAACCAAAACCAAAAAGTTTGAAAAACCGATCTTAAAACCTRAACCAAAACCAKAAAATTTAGAAAACCGTTCTCAAAAACCGAAACCGAAACCGTTAAAMTATGAAACGGTTTCGATCCCTGATAAATAGTGATTCGTGCATTTAATATCAAAAGAAAATCGTTCAATTCCTTGTTTCTATAAAAAAGAAACTATTATTTAAATATTAATAATATTTAAATGATTGTATTTTTTTAATTCTAGCACTACTGTTAGATTTGCGTACTGTAAGTGGTGTGATACTTGTAACAGTTATAACCTGTGACTCTGTGAGCGTAGGTGTATACAGGCAACTCCTAATATCGAGTGCATCCCAAAATGTCCGTTATTTAATGTTCCGAATGCGTCCGGAATAAGGTCTCACCCGAGTGCGTTTCAAGAGAAAAAGGTCATTACTTTGACGCAGCAAAAGTGCGTCCCAGTTCATTTAGAGTTATCCAGGGTGCACCACGAGGAGGTAAACTGGCTTACACCTCAAAAATATTTGGTTATTTAATTTTATTTATTATACAAGTTTATTATTATTAATTTTATTTAATTATTTAGGTYTACATCCATCATTAATTTGAGTGGACGTTCACGAAGTTCTTCTTAAGCTTTTCGTTTTACAGAGTATTATTTGTATCATCTGGTCTCCTCATTTTTCCTTCAGATTCTATTTCATGATTATGTTTTAAATTACTATCAATAATTGTCATCTCGCTCATATCTGTTTTTATGTAAGCTGTACATGTTTTGTTTACACAGCACGATCGTTTTACATCACCATTCGACATTTTATGAAATCTCATTTTATATCCCATAATAATTTTAAGTTCCTWACCGTGTTGGCTGATCATACTCGACGGCAACGACATCGRCATCTTTTATATATATATATATATACAAAAGTATAATTACTATAATTAATATAAAATGTTAAATAAATATATTTAAACAAAACTATTAGCTGCATACACATCATTAGTCACTACACATACTACACGTGGTTGTCAAAGACTATAGTTATGAATATTAGGTTCTACGTATGGACTGTAGTGAAAATGCAAACGAACATAGTGTGATATTATAAGATATCAATGCATTTTATCCATAAAGATAAATGTTACCTTCAATAATATAGCGGACGCACATCGGATATAGGTACCAAAATTAATTTGCGATATTATCGCGGACACAATTGGGCTATAAAAAAGGTACGACATGATTAACAGACGCACTAGGGTGACGCCCGTGTACACACCCTGAGAAAAATTTACCTT